AGTTTAAATTTGGACGTAGGTTCTGAGATTGAGCCATTTTGGAACGACAGCCCACATTATTCGTTCATTAATTGGGCTCACCCTAATGATGAGATGGAGATATTGTATGGCGACGATGACATCCACGGTGGCTGGCATTTAGGGGATCCATTATATTTGTACCAGGAGTTTCGAACTAAATCTGAAATGCAACATGCAGTCAAATTATATTGTATGAAGTCTCATCGTACTGCTGTGGTGGCAAAAAGTGATGACCATAGATTTGTGATGAAGTGTCGACACCATAATGATGGTTGTCCCTGGTACGTGCAGGCTATGTTGCCCAAGAATGGAAATAGTTGGGTTGTTAGTAAGTGGGGTAAAAAACACACTTGCCTAAACCAAGGCCTTACTCGGGACCATAGACAGCTGGATTCTGATGTAATCTTTGCAGCCATTATAAGTATGTATTACAGAATTTTTGTTTATGGTTTAATTTTTCGGTATATTTATTGATTGTGTTGACTTCGAATTTTGTATAGGTATGTTAAAAGAAGATCCATCCACGAAACCAGTTCTTATTCAGGAGAGGGTACAAAGTTTGTATGGATACAACATATCTTATAGGAAGGCTTGGAAGGCTAAAATGAAGGCCATTGTGAAGTTGTTTGGGGACTGGGGAAAATCATATGCCATCTTACCTGTTGGCTGACCTACATGACACAGATAAATCCTGGTTCTGTGTTCAAGATTGATACGGATCAGTGTTGTGACGAACGACGTGTCTACACCGATAAGGCTGTCTTTCGCAGGGTATTTTAGACTTTTCACCAATGGATTGAGGCTTTCAAATATTGTAAACCCATAATCCAAATTGATGGCACGCACCTGTACGGGAAATATAAAGGTACCCTCTTGATTGCTACGTCACAGGATGGTGATGGATTCATTCTGCCTATTGCGTTTGCCATTGTTCGACCGGGTGAGAGATTGGATGATTGGTTGTGGTTTCTTAGCCAGATGCGTTTCCATGTCACACGTAGGCATGGTATATGTCTAATATCCGATCGTCACCCCAGCATCATCAGGGCTGTGAAGGATCATGCCGGTTGGCAGCCTCCATTTGCGTATCACGTGTTTTGTCTTCGTCACATTGGAAGCAACTTCAACACTAAGTTTAGGGACGTGGAACTGAAGAAAACGCTGATGAAACTAGGTAACCTATTTACATGAATGTGTACATGTTGTATGTAATGTTGTTTATGTATAACTCATTGCAATTTGGGTTCATTTTTTGCAGGTTACATGTGTTCGAAGATTCACTTTGATTTAAGATTTCAAGAATTTGTCGACAGTAACCCACAAGTAGCCTCATGGATAGATCAGATTCCCAAAGAGAAATGGTGCAGGTCTTATGATGAGGAGGGCCGAAGGTTTGGTCATATGACGACTAACCTATCTGAGTGTATTAATAAGGTCCTACGGGGTGCACGTAATTTGCCAGTAACGGCATTGGTCAAGATGACGCAAAGTAGACTTGTAGAGTATTTTGTGAAGAGGCGTGAAAAGATCCAAAAAGTAAAGGACAAAGGCTGGAGAATTGCAAAAAAGGTTGAGGACTTCTTACAAAAGAATGATCAGTTAACTGTCAGTCTCCGTGTCCGTGTTTTTGATAAAGACTTGCAGTTGTTTGAAGTTGAGGATGCCTACAATCAATCTACGCATGATGCTGGCGACATTATGAGGGTTGACTTGCTAAATCGTAAATGTCAATGTGGACGGTTCATAGCTAGACGATTTCCTTGCAATCATGTGCTAGCGGTGTGCAAGGTTGAAAAATTGAACCACTATGACTATGTCGATCCTGTGTTCTCAATTACACAAATTGAGAAGGTCTATGCTGCACATTGGTTTCCAATGGGTAATGAGTTGTTGATCCCAGAAATAGATGGTCCAACTATTATCCCAAATGCATCTTTGGTTCGTGCACAAGGTAGACCGAAGTCTTCAAGGATACAGAATGAAATGGATTGGGTTGAGTCCCAACCCACAAGCAGTCAAACTAGATGTAGCACCTGCAAGCAAATTGGTCACAATAAACGTACATGTCCTATGAGGATTAATCCTAGCTGAACCAATGTTGTGCATGTATTTAAGGTCTTTTGTAAGAGTTCATGTAATTCTGTTATGAATTTTGATGTTACTTTGTGTTACTGTATAACTCATTATGTAATTTGACTTTTCATTTCTAAGTCCATTATCTAACATTGGTCCATATTGATAGATTGAAACTCATAACTAATACTAATATTACCAAAAAATGAAATCACCAAGTTTCGGGGAGCGTAAACAAACGGTTTCAAGCAATACGTACCCAATCGCATACGAATCCTGTACAATACAATTTTGTACCTGAAAGTGTGTTCCCCAAGTCATTATATGCGTGTACATTGATATTCGATCGGTTCCGTGCCAAAAAAATGCGTGCAAAACAGAATGGGGGCTCAAAACCAGTTATTTAGTCGAGCAACTTGTACTGGTTTAGTCGACTACACATATTATGGCATCACCTCGTGTATATCCTGGAAGTATGGTCCCGCTATCTGCGTCATATTCCACAGTCTACGCAGAATCAAAGTCATACCCCAGTAACTCCAACCATACCAGAGCCGTCATGATGATCTCCACCCCGCAGACCCTAGACCTCAGCTCACCCTGTACGTAGCTGAGGTTATGGTAGAAGGGCATGCAGCTCAGAATATGAACACGACAGTTCAGCCAAGGTCCTAAGATGTGATTCCTCCAACCACCTCACAATGTTAAAACCTTCTTGTTCAAAAAAGGTTGTATCAAGTGATTTGGCCCCACAAATCGGTCGGTTAACAAAGTCACGGACAAAAGATTCATGAACCACCGGGTCATTCTCGAACAAGTATCTGAATGGGAGGTAGACAGCAGCGGGGTCTTCCTCTTGTGGCCTTGACGAAGACGGACGGTCTTGTCGTAGCTTCTGTCGTCTCTCATTTCCAGTGCTAGACGATCTTCTACGGCCAGCCATGGGAACAACTGTACCTACAATGTAAGTGGAAACAAATATCAATGAACAATAACAATATCAAAAAATTTAAAATTCAGTATAAAAAACAAAACCTAATCCTAAAATAAAACAGAAAACAGAAACCCTAACCCTAACCCTAAAACAGAAACCCTAACCCTAACCCTAACCCTAGCACATCACAAAAAACCATTCCTTGCCCTAACAGTACAACCCAAACAAAACAGCAACATAAACCCTAACCCTAACCCTAACATAACCCTAACCCTAAGCCTAAGGCACCACATCAACCCTAACCCTCACCCTCACAACAAACTTAGCACCCTACCCCTAACCTAAATCCACAAAACCGCAAACAGAAATCAAATGCATGGAGAAAACAAAAAAAAAAACCTAAACTTAAAACCAAATGCAAGTCAGAATACGTTACCTAAATGTAGATTTCGCAAGTGTGAACCAAGGATGCTTCAATCGCACCTTCAAGAGTTGAGATTCGGACTTGGTTGGAGAGATGGGACAGAATGGAGCGATTTAGTCGATTAGGGTTTGAAAATAACCCCCTTTGCGAAATGAGGGGTTTTTAAAAAACCTGATCTGCGATATTTAGTCGACTAAATAATGTGCTTAGTCGACTAAAAGTGCAAACAATGTAGTCGATTAAGGTGAGTTTTTAGTAGACTAAAATTCGCGTTTCATGATTTCTGAGTTTAGCCCATTTAGTCGATTAAAAGTGCAACTTAATCGACTAAATGGGGGCAGGATGGTGGATAGTTCTGGGGGATGGGCAAATCGGTTATTAATTATTTAATGAGGGGCAAAAGGGTCAAAAAGCCATGATGAGCTTGTACAATTAATATGTACATATTAAATACTAAAAAATAAGAAATAAGAAATTTGTTTTGGTTCTAAAAACATGTAAAAAATTCATTAAAACATACTAAATTATTGCGACTAATTCAAAGTTATATAAAAATAAATAAACAACTTTTTTTTAAGTTTAAAGTATCGATAAATAAATTATTGAAAAACTCGATATTACATTATGAGTACAATAATAATATTTGAGTAAAAAAATTCAATAACTATATCATTATGGGTGAGAGCAGAACCTCTATTGTGTATGAGAAGAGAGTACACCATAGTGTAGAAGTGGAAATGAGGTGAATTAGGTCAAGATCAAACTTAGCTGGACAAAAATAAACTCTACTCGGACCTAACTCATTAACAAAGTAAAAAAACATATTTTCTTAACTTAAGCTAAGTTTTTATGCTAGTTACAAATTATTCAAGTTTGATAAGCTAACTCAAATCCTTTACTTAATAAATATTTTTCTTTATTTTTTATATATTTTAATTAAAAATATTTAATAATTCAAAAGTGTAAAATTAAATACATATATATATCTAAACACAAATTAAAATATATTATACATGAAGTTGATTTTAACCCAGCTTCCAACCGAGTGAAAGAGTGACAGTGTATATATGGACGCTTTATAAATTTTCTTTACATAAAGACACGACTACAAAAGTTATAAAAAAATGAGTGGTACCAAACGATAGTAGCTCAGTTGGCGCATCAGAGTTGAGCAGGCGGAGGTGAGAGCATGTATTCTCCTCAGTATTATCGTTTGGAGAAATTTAAAACATTAATCATAAACATCCTCCGAACAGATTGCCTCATATGTACGAGACACATGGTTTATAAAAAAGAAAAAAAAAAAAAAAAAAAAAGAGTGATAGGACGGTACCGAATCCCATTGACTTGATCATGTTTCTTAGGTGGATTGTCTTCTATCTTGGCTCTCTACTATTTATATATTATATGTATACGCATTCTCACTCGTTATCCTACAGCCAACAAGCTTTTCCTTTATTTCCATGTGTTCTTCTCTCTTTCTAATTTTGTGAGACACAAATTAAGCATTCCATCATTGAGAATATTTTTTGAACTAGCTTCTTCATCATGACCAAGTCTAATTCTTCTAGTGAAAAGAATGGATTAAAGAAAGGTCCATGGACTCCAGAGGAAGATCAGAAACTCGTGGATTATATTCAGAAACATGGTCACGGGAAGTGGCGAACCCTTCCCAAGAATGCAGGTGTAGTTTTTCACAGAGTCCACTTCAATTAATTATCAAAAAAATTTAGTTAGGCCTATGTTTGTTCATGAGTTTTTCTAGTTACGTGGCACAAGCACACACACACATATTTCCTAAGGTTAAAGTTCTTAATTATACATTTATGTAAAGAAATAACGCTTAACATGAATCTTTGTTATTGATTTATTTTTCATATGGTAAAAAATAGGACTAAAAAGATGTGGAAAGAGTTGTCGTCTTCGCTGGGCTAACTACTTGAGGCCTGATATAAAGAGAGGAAGATTCTCATTCCAAGAAGAAGAAACCATCATCCAGTTACATAGTGTTTTGGGAAACAAGTAAGTCATAAAGCTTTTGCTTGTTCCTCAATTTTTTAATTTGATATATTAGTACAAATTCCTCACTCTATTTAAAAAGTAAATTAGAAAGAGAGCCTTTTTTGAATTTGCATATATGAAAGCAGAATAGCCAACTAATTCATAAGACTTCAAATTGTGTGAAGCATTAAAATTCATTTTATATTTGGAATGGTAGCTAGGCAACTATGCAAAAGTCAATGATATATAAAATAAGAGCTCAGTGTCTCTCGTTATAAATTGTGTTATTTTAGGTGTTTTACACACAGTACGACCGGTCGTACTCTGTGTGATTATGAAAAGTTATTTTTTTTTTCACTTTACACGTCAACGATGTGACTGGGGAGAGAAAAAAAAACAACTTTTCAGTTTTACACAAAGTACGACCGGTCATACTTTGTATAAAACACCTAAAATAACACAAGCGCGTGTCATTCAAAAGGATACTTCTTTTTCCCATAAAATAACAAACTATATTTTCTTGTCATTTTGTAGCATAGAAATTATTGCAATCTAAATGGAAATTTTCTGGCCCTGCACACAGGTGGTCTACAATTGCTGCTAACTTGCCAGGAAGAACAGATAATGAGATAAAGAATTATTGGAATACCCACATCAAGAAAAAGCTAATGAAGATGGGGATTGATCCAGTGACACACACACCACGCCTTGATGTTCTACAACTTGTTTCCATTCTGAACTCATCTTTATACAATTCACCCCAATTTAACAACCACCATGGTCTTTATGGGATGGGAAATGTGATAAATCCAAGCCAGCTCTTAAATTTGCTCACCACTCTGTTATCATGTCAAAGCAGAAACCCAAATGTTTTGAATCATAGTTTTCAGCAAAACCAAGTTGGTAATAGCCCTCTATTCCAAAACCAATCCCAATTTTCCCAACCAATGCAACAACTTAACTCTACACAAACACAAGCCTTCCAACCAAACCAACCCCAAGTAGTTCAAGAAAACCACTGTTCTACATCTAATCCATTGCATATGGAACCCCAACTCATGAAAACAACGTTAGAGAATCAAATCTCTCAAATTGCTTCTCCTTTTAGAAACCAAAACACTCTACCAAATTTGTGGCAGGACACTGAAGGTGCCGAATCATCAGCTATACCATGTTTCTCTTCCCCCAAGTTCAACTCCATGATCAACAATATCATGGAAAATCAAATTTTATGTAACAATGAGGGAATCCCAGATTTCAATTTAAGCTCGTTGTTATCTTCCACACCTTCTTCATCTTCTAGCCCAAGTACCTTGAAATCATCATCTTCCACAACATTTGTCAATGGAACCACTACTGAAGATGAAAGAGACACTTATGGCAGCAACATGTTGATGTATAACATCTCAAATGGCTTGAATGACTCTGGATTTTTGTGATTGAACTCGATTGCAACTTTGCAAGTTGTGCTGTAATATGATTTCTCAGTACTTCAAAAAATTTGTTTGTTTCGGTTCAGACTTATATGAGTTTACTATTTGCCAGTTTAATTGATTATTCCTCTTGCAAGGTCCTTGTATCTCCATTATGGAAAAAAAAATCTTATTCATTTCATTTATCATTGAGAGGGTAGTTTACAGTTTAATTTCCGCGAGTTACTTTGAATCTTTGATTGGGTCCTAATTTTTAATGCCTCTTATGAAAACTTAATTAAAAATAAATAGAGTAAAACTTACAAAAGAAGAATGAGTAATATCACATATGCATAATTTTCTTTATAATTCAAATTGTTTAATTAACTTTGTTAAATAGGTGGAAACTAAGTGAATAATACATGTGGTATCAATTAATAGCTAGCATTGATTGTCAAGAATATAACCACATGAATTATTTTTCAAAAACATTTGTCGGTTTAGTTGACATAATTATTAAAAAAATCAAAAAAATAAAAACTAAAAAGAATGATATGATTTTAACTAAAATCATATAAAGGTACTTAGAAGTTAGAACGTGTTTAGATTAACTTTCAAAAAAATCTTTTATGATATTTTTTATAAAAAAAAAAAAAAAACCTTCTTTTTAGCGCAAAAGAAACTTTTTTTTTTTTATAAATTATAACATTTTTAAACATACTTTTAATTACAAAAGAAATATTTAAAAAAAAACAACAAACAAGCCAACAATTAGATGGAGATGCCCTAGTGGCCATGTATGATCATTTAGAAAACCATTTGTGAAGCTGTTAATGGTAAGAGATTTGGTAACTTGCATAAGATTATAGGTTTGAACCTTAATGTCATCATTTATATAACACTGCTAGAAAAGTCCATTTTTTTCGACGGAAAAACTCCGTTGAAAATTGTAAAAATTTTGTCGAAAATAAAATTTTTAACAGAATTTTTAATGAAATTCAGGTCATCGAATTTCTTTTCGTTGATAATAATTTTTTCAACGAAATTAAAGATTCTTTCGAAAATTAAGGTAAAAAGTTAAGTGAGTAAGTCATAATAAGAACTCCTTAATACAGATACCAAAAAAAAAAAAAACTCCTTAATACACTTAAATAAATCTGTTAAATGGTGCTATCTTGCTTAAATGATATAAAAACCGCATAAACAGTTATATTTAGTTAAATTATTAGCCATAAATTTTCATTTACAGATATTCCCAATCTTCTACGAATATCTTGAAAAAAAATAAAACTTTTCTTAAGTAGGACTCGATTTTATGATCTGGCTAGTTGTTCCTGAAATTTTATAAAACCAAAACTAGTCCTTTGATTTAGGGGTATCCTTTCAATTGCTCAACAAGGAACTCTTATGACTGTTTTTGTTTTTTGTTTTTTGGGGTTGCTTTTTGGTTCTCGTGCCATATTGGGAAGGGACCACTAGGACAGTGAAAAAAATAGAAGTGGAGAAATTGAAAGCTAGAAGTCTAGAACAGAGAGAGATAGTGTTGAACGTAACAGTGACTGTCAAAGCTTTAAGCGTGTAGCACCCAGTTCCGTTTACGCATCTACTTGTCGTTCCATTCCATACTTTGACTCCTTGTTACTGTTATTCCAGCAATATAACATGTTCTCAAAATAATATATTTATTAAATGAGATAGGATACTATGAGAATCTTTTTTCATTCCTCTTCTATTTATTCTTATTCAATACCATTTTATTGGAATCTCAATTGATCTTTATCCTTTCTTTCTGCTCTTAAAATTTTAATCTAGCAATGTAAAAAAGGAATATATAGGATCGATGTGAAAAAAAAAAAATAGGTCAAATATCTCATCCCTTATTAAATTGCGTGAAAAATATATTTTTAAGAATAGGTCAAATATCTCATCCCTTATTCAAAGTGGTTCATTTTAGTATTTTTGAGGAACTAATATAGATATTTTTTAAATTTATGAGATACCACAATTTTAATTAAATGAGTCTATTTTAAATTTCTTAAAGACTACAAATAACTTTTTTATTTGCTAAGAACTAAAGCGGGCATCGCTCGCAATCTCTCCGCCATAACTTCTATTGTACATGTAACTACTTCTCCCACCGTAAAATTAAGTAGTTTTGATTAAAATATAACAATTATATATTCTTTATAGTTTGACCTTAAATTATATTGCTAAAACTGACACTTGGCTCTGCTATTGTTTCACGTGCTAATTAGACTTAGGTAACTTGCTTTGACTCTCCCCAGGAGGGATTTCTTTTAGATTTTAAATTAATGCTTCAAAATTAATTTTTCACATTTATTAAATTTGTTTGGTTATTTTTTTCATGAAAATTTAGAACAAAATAAGCTTGTTTCATTTTAAAATTAGGACTTCTCGTAAATCTTTGATTAATGCTTATCACTTAAATTAATGATTAGATTTTGTATAAAAGTTATCGCCGATGTTTTTGCTAGAGTGCACGATCAAACTCATCGTGTGCTTGCACAGGCACACAATGCTTGTTTGGTTATTTTTCACATTTAATTAAGGGTTAGGTGTTTATTTTTTTAAAAGACATAACGACCAAAATTCATCAAATCAAAATCTAATTTCATTTTTCTGAGTTCATTTACATTCACTTTTATTACCTAAGGAACAATATTAGAAATTTGCAATTGGATTTTTGCACCGTTTTTTACGAAATGAACTGTGAATCACTATTGTGCATTGTTTGCAAGCAAAATCCTAAAACTGCTAAATTTATCATTTTGGTCTAAACATGACTTGTTTGGCATATGTTGGACTTCCATATACTTATCACATTGATAAGTCTTCAATTTATTATGTATTAGGCGTTAATATGAGCATGAAATTGATTTAAAAGTAATTAAAAGTTATAAGAATTATAATTAAAGAGTTATTTTATTCTCAGAAATATTCTAATAAAAATTCTTATATTTTGCAGTAATTTTCAGCTTTATAAAAAAAAATATTGGAGAGTTCAAGTAAATTTGTTTTTCTAAATCATATAATTGATTGAAGATCTTATTGAAGATTCTCTTGAATATTTTTAAGGAAATTATTTCCTTTAAATATAAAATTAAATATTTTAAAGATTGGATTAAAGATATGATTAGAGATTATATATAGTAAAGATTCCATTGAAAATATTATAGGAAATTAAAAGATACGGTTTAAATCTCCCTAAAGATATGGTTTAAATCTCCCTAAACTAACCTGAATCTTGAAGATTTTGCTCTAAAAAAACAGCATATATAGTACTAAGCAAACATTGTTCACAATTTATTTCTTGTTTAGAGACATGAGTGTAAAAGCGCTTAGTTTTTACATCTTTGATTCATGGAGTCCTCGAATCACTTCTATATTGTTGAATTCTTTCAACAATTTATTCCAGAAAACTTTCCTTTAGGCCAATACTTCTGTATTAATTTTCACCGTGGAAACGCAGTTTATCCCTCATCAAACCATGAAATACCCAGCACAACCTCATTCCACGAGTCCTATTTGATTCCATGGGATATCATATATGATTGCGATATATTCGAAATCATGGATCCTATAATGACCCTAAAGAGTAAATCTTAATTAGAGATTTAATTTAAGGATTTAAATGCCATAATTAGATTCAGTGAGTGATTTCAAGTATTTTGACTGTAATCATGACTATGTTATGAACAGCGCGTTCTGCCGGAGAAAAATTGTATAGTCTGGCACTTTTCGTGAAAAATCTCGTGAATAGTGTTTTCTACCGGGTATTTTGTACTGCTGTTTAAGCAACCGGTAGAGTCCAGAAACAAATAATTGATGAAGTAAGAATAAGAAAGTCCAATATATTCCAAGCAAGTCAAAATAGACCCAAGAATGATAAGTTTATAAGTTTTAAGTTTCGGATGCAAACAGTTCATAATTAATGAACCCCAGTGCATTTCGTCAAAAACGGTGCAGAAACGGTACTGTAAATCATGAATATGATTCCTTAGGAAATATAAATTTATGTAAATGAGTTCAGAAAAATAAAAATATGTCCGTAGCTATAATTTAGTTCCGGGTCCGTTAAGTTAAAATACGCGATAGAAAAACATCCGACTAAAAAGCCACATGTGCTTAAAAGACCAAGTCACTCAAGTCTCACTATCCAAATCAGTTTCTCTCTCCTCTCATCCCTCACAAACCCGAGCTGCACCTTGGAAGAAGGGGTTTAGGGCTTTGATTTTTATTTCTTTGATTTCTCCCTAAATACTCATCCAAATCCTTTGATCCATACATGAAAATCATAGGAAAAAGTCCAATGAATCCATTCCACCTATCAATTTGAGCCATAGTTGAGTGTGTGAAGAGTTTTTCCTCCCTCCATTTTCGTGTCACTATTCATCAAGGAGGAGAAAGTGTATTTTGAGAGGAGTTTTGCTTGGAGATGGCTCCCTAGACCTTGTACAAGCTATTGGAGGTAATAAAACTCTATTTCCATGGCATTATTTTGATGTTGTGAGCCATAAAAATTGTAAGCATGTGTTGGGTGGGAAAGGAATGAGTTTAAAAGGTAATGTGATGATAGATTTTTGATGTTGGGTATTTAAGCTTGTGGAATAAGCATGTTTACATGTGTTAAATAAAAGAAAATCCTTTGTGTTGTATCCCCTTGATGTTTCGGCCATGAGAGGGTGAGGAGGGGAGGATATGAAAAATTGTAATTCATGTATTTTGAAGTGTAGAGTGTAGTAATAAGTAGAAAAATGATGAATTAGTAAGGATCCTTAAAAGAGGGAAAATCATAAGAACCATAATGTTTCGGCCTTGTGGGTCTTTTGAGGGGTTTGATATTCCAAAATTGAAATTGGAACTTGATGTATATATATTTATGTATGTTTAGTTGTCAAATTAAGTGAAGGAATGAAATGAAAAAGAAAGAAATCCTTGGCTTCTCCTTATGGATTTCGGCCTTATAGGGTAAATTAAGGATGGTTAGATTATGTTTTATTTTGTTAAAATGTTGAGCTTTCAATACATGAAATTAATAAGATTATGAAGTGAAATGATTTGAAAGGAAATTATGGAAAAGTATCTGGATTTCCTAAGGGTAGGTCCACGGCCTTTTGAAGTAAAATGGCATGATACATGTTGAAAATTTTTAAGGGAATACTTGATTAAATTAAAGAACATCAACGGTTATAAAGTGGTCTAAACTTGTGTATTGGCATAGCATTGGCAAAAATATAAAGAAACGAAAAGGAGCGATAAAATGTATGCTTTATGAAAGGGTCATGGCATAATATCATTTTATTGATTTTGTTGTAAATTCTTCTCTAGGTGTGCCTAGGGATTGAAAAGGAGTGGAATTTTATTGAAGCGATATAAGTAACTTGTGCAACAAGTAAGCGTATTGGTAAAGCTTCAAGAGGTAAGCTCTATGTTTAAGGAGTCTTTTCCTACTTGAGTGCTCCACCATGGTTGAGGAACTATGGTTGGACTGTGTGACTGTTGTTTTGATGCTTTGTATAGATGCATTCATATAGAGCTATGTGATAACATGATATGACTTGTTCTGATATGATTTCTGTAGTGATGTATGGTACACTGATGTCTGCTTGGGGCTTCCCTGGGATTGACGATGTACACCTCTGACATGTTCTGGTTCCGCTTGGGGTCCTCCCTTGGGAACACGTGCGTTGATTTCCGCTTGGGGTCCTCCCTTGGGAATGACGATGCACGCCTCTGCTGGTTCCGCTTGGGGTCCTCCCTTGGGAACACGTGTGTTAATTTCCGCTTGGGATCCTCCCTTGGGAATGACGGCGCACGCCTCCGATATGATATGGATATATGCTCTGTTATGTTATGATATCTGCTATATGTTGTATTTGTATACTCTGTATCTGACTTTCATGCAGGAGTGAGCCAGGGGTATGGAGAATTCTCTATAAACCTGGAGCTTATTGAGATTTGTAATCTCACCCCTCTTTGGGGACATATTTTCAGGTTCCCAGACTCCCGGTGAGCCCTCATTAGGCAGGGACGCGACACGTGGCTGAGACATTCGACGGACCGGATTTTGAGTGGATGTAGGCTACTACTGTTTGGAGTGCATTTATGTATTTCGTATTTTCTTATTTGATGGATCATGATGTTAGATCCTTTACTGTGTATATGGCCTGTATATGTCTTGTACATGTCTTTCAGTTTGATGCATGTACATTTTTGTATTCAGGCATGTTGATGTGACTATGTAGTATTCAGTTATGTTTATGTATTTGATTACATGTTGTTAGATTAGCGGCACTGAGCCAAGTTATGCATGCGTCCATGGATGGGTATCTGATTATATTTGCATGACTGGTACTTCTGGATTGATGTGCTGTATAAACTGTTTACCAGGAAATGCTTCTAAGTGGGATTGAAAAATCCCCAGTTGTCCGATTTATAGAGAAAACTCTGTCCGATTTTCGTTTACGTCGAATGAGAATTTAAAAAGAAAAAGAAAAAGTTAGCTCGTATTTTCGTAAGTTAAGTCTTCCGCTGTTTCTATTTATATCATATGCATGTTAATTGAACTGGCTCGAGACGGGGATGTTACAGATCCTCACAGTCCTACTATGGCGTATTTGCATGACCCTTTTTCCTCTATTCCTCTATCTTCCGAGTCCCTGGACTCAATTCTACCTGTTGTAGGTCGACACGCAAGAGATATGATCAGCGGCAACACTGAAGGACTTGACATATTGCATATGGATGTGATAGTTTGCATCGCCAATGGCCTTAGTGAGGAATATTATGAACATGAGTATTGATCACTAGAGCGTGTTTATATCAACCCTTGTGAATTCCTTGAAAAAAGTCAGATTCAATCAAGATGTTTCTTCTAATTTGAATGATACATGTTCCATTTGTTTGGAGAAGTTGGGCGATGGATCAAATTCAAAGCTTGTCCGCACCAAATGCTCACATGTTTTTCATGAAGATTGTATTACCGAATGGCTTCAGCATTGTAACGCTCATCAATCTTATTCTTGTCCTTTGTGTCGTTGTCAAGTTACATATGTTGATTATTTTTCAAATTGTAGAACAACTTTATTGTAATCAATTTTAATTGGATTGTGGGTTTTGTTCCTCTTGTTGAAGGTTTTCCACATTGAATAATTGTGTCACTTCTTGTCTTTATTCTTTATTTTAGGGTTTAGGGTTTTTAAATTGCAAAATTTTCAAGAAACTAAATTCAACCCCTCTTGAATTCATCCTGACCAACAAAAAACAACTATTCTTCTTTCCATGATCTCTTTCTTAGAAAGCGCCAAATGATAACTAGTTGCTGATTTGGAAGTCGTTGCTTGCTAACAATGGGCTTATTAAAAGGGTTCGATTTTTACTACAACGGTAACAAAAAGTAAACATCGAAAAGACAAAAAAAGAGATTTATTGGTTTTTTTATTAAAAAAGAAATTACCAGGATTTGTTGTCGTATCATGGTATATATGTGTCTGTATTGCCTTATGAAAAATTGTTTAGTTAAGATAAATAATGAAAGTGAAAGAGATAATTGTGTGAGAGTTTTGATAAAATTTAATATAGATAAAATAAGGGGAAAATGTTTCTGCAGAGTTAATGCAGATAAGTTATCTGCATTTTTTCTCAAAACGACGTCTTTTTGGTATTGAAATCTTAAAAAATTATAAATATAAAGACTATTATAACCCTGAAATAAATTAAAATTACAAAAACACCATGATTTTTGCCCCATTGGGCTTAATGCAGAAAAAGCGAACCCATAAAATAATTATGACATGAGATTGAGAACTTTTGAGTTTTCACAAGCATTATTATATGTTTTTAAGTGAGAAAAAAAGATATCCAATGAAAATCATTGAAAGAGAAAATGAGAGATTTTTTTTAATTTAAATATAAAAATACTAATTTTAACTAAAATAACCATTATTTAAAAGAATAAATATTAAGCGCTGCAACCCATTGCATTTTTAATTTCAGTGGCGCATTAGGTCATTTATTTCCAAGTCTTAAAAGTCTTACCATTTAACACCGTTGTAATTAATTTTTGAAAAATGTGACTTGCTGTATTTTCATTTTTCTCTTTTTTTCCTGAAATTTATTTTCAAAGAATACAACTCTATTTTTTAATTTCCATGTTCTCATATCTTGTCATTTAAATTTTGTTTTTTTATTTTCGAATTATGCACATATTTCATTTTACCTTCCAGACTCTGTCTATTAATTAATTGGAAATATAATCCAATCGTTAAGACATGACACTCGTCATTTGGTGATTTTAGCTATTTAAACCCGTAACTATTGGGAAGAAATGTAACAGTGAACTTGAAATTTATAAAAAGATCAAAGGTCTTAATGTTCTCACAAAAAGCTGCAATACTGCAGCCAAAGAGGGCTGTTTACCATGCTTACCAAGACGATGGAAGCTGCAATACTGCAGCCAAAGAGGGCTGTTTACCAGCACAACTAGGTTGCACTTTTCCTCTTTACAGTTTGAAATATTCAACAATGTTCTCAACACTTAGCAGAGGTATCTAATTCAACCATCAAGCCTCTCGAAGAAATAAAGATAGCCCATGTCCTTGGGAGGATTAATGGAAGCTCCAACCTTGCTGTCATTAAACATAACCCATCTACCATCTTTTAAGATATGTGCAACATAGTGACCACAATGCGTCGAGGTTCCAATGTGGCTAACAATTCCAATAAGTCGATATCCTGTGTAAAGCCAAAAGCAAGAGAAAATTCAATAAAAAAAACCAAATTGTCCAAATTAAAACGCCAATACGAACCCTTAATCCATACTTAGGGAATATGACCCAGAGAAGCTAGGATAAAATACCATAACATTAAGCAAGACAAGTATCAGCAATGTCGATTTATTTTTTTATTTTTGGCAGATTACCGATCAAAATAATAATCAACAGCAGAGTAATTAAGAAGTAAAAGCAACTTACTTCCTCCTCCATCAGGTAAGCCAGCATCATTTGGAACAGATGTAGTGTTTGATGCAGTAGCATCCATACTGGAAATAGATGCATCGGGATTGCTAAATATCCAATCTGTTGCTTTCTCAATGTCACCACCCTACAGAACAAGACAGTCAAAACTTGTGGACAATTACCCAACTGAATCCCACAGACATAAGGCAAAGGGGGAAAATAATATAAGAAAAAATTACCGATGCCTTCAGAGCCTTTCGACAAAGATCTTCTTCAAATCCAAATGAAATTAGAGTATCAACTTTTGATTGGTCAACACTTCCAGAGCATTGCCCGTTTGAAATGGGAGCGTCAATATCTGAGAATAAACAAAACATACCGATCATTAACTCCTGTATTAAGGTACCTTACTAAAAAGAATTGATTCACACAATAAAGAAAACCAAGTGAAACCTGGATCATCCATGTGAGATAGTAACCAATTCATTGCCTCTTCTACTCCAGAATTTGAGGTATTTATAGCAGCTTTCTGACAATGAATATGGCTAAAGCCCATCGAAACCAGCTGTGAGACAATGTCTTCATTGGCCAAAGGTTTGTCCGAATTCTCCTCAACGGGTACTGTGCAACACAAATAACAAATGCAGAGAGATTTGGCAAATTTCAGCTTGAATTCAGCTAAAATAGTAATTCAGTTATTTAGCTGAAAGAGGCACAAGTCCATGAAACAATAAGAATTGCAAAAACTGATGAGAAGGCAAATTTATTAGTTATCTAAAATACCCTCACAAAAAAAGATTGTAAAGAGTGTCCTTTGTTGTATATATACTACATACTCATTAATATAAGATGTGAATAAGCGCGCACAAATAAGTTTAATGGAAAGTAAGTTTGACATAATTTTTCTTCCTTAGGTTTCTTTGAAACAATCTAGTTTCCTCTATTTGAATTTCTACAATCTCCTGAACAAAAAAACCTACATACCCCCATCTGGTAACAGCTCTTCCCCAGGGTGATGACCTTTGCTGCGCATATGACTAATATCTATGATATCAGGAACATCTATATACACATCTGAAAGAAGAGAAGTTCTTAGTAATATATAGATATAGAAAAAAACAATCTTAAGAATAGTAGTTAGTAAAGTAAAAAGATGACATATTGATTATTTATACAAAATGTACCAAGCTTTTTGGGGACCCATCCTTCCTCCATAACAAATTTCCGCATGTGTAACACCAGGTAATCGGGGAATGATGTCAAACCAGCCGTCCTACAGATTAAATGATGTTTCAACATCAAGATGTTTTTTAATTCACTAATAAGAACATAATTTTATAGACAATTTTCAGCAAAGTAAGATGTAACCACACTTGATTGTCATCAACTCACCTAAGACAATGACGTTAATAAACTAAATTTCTCATGAAAACAAAAAAGAAACACAAAATACCTGATGCAAAGTGTATACAATATGAACCAACATGCATGGCATTGTAATTTAACATGAACATCGAAATCAACATCATCTTTATCCCAACCTACTTGGGGTCAAACATCTATCAACCCATATAAAAGCAAGAACAGATTATTGAAAAATAAATAATAAGAAAAGGTAATATATATACACATATATATATGATAAAAAGATAAATAATAAATATATAAAAACAAAAAAACAAAAATTCTATCCCTTTTTTCTCTACTCTGTCTCTGTCCTAAGGTCAATTGCATACCATTACAAACTTCATGCCATGCTCTCGGTAACAAACTTCTTTTCTAACTGGAGCATCTAAGGGTTTTCAAATAACATGTCCAAACCATTACAAGCTATGTTCTCTCATCTTTTCGTCCACCAATACAACTCCAACTTTTTGTCAAGTTTCTTCATTTCTTATCTTATACATTTTTGTATGACCACACATCCATCTTAAACATCCCCTTTTCCACTACACCCATTGTAAATTAACATGACTTAGAAAATTCAGAATGCTTACTTCATCGCTGTTGTCTTTGTTTTCAAGGCAGTGCTGTAAAAATCATGAATCTCCTCAGAAGCTGAGAAGTTTGCAAGGCAAGCTTCTAAAGGCACCCTGGGACGTACAATCTCATCACCAGACCTACCAGAAGAAATATGCTTAGCAGAGCCTTGATAAGCAAACTAAAGAAATAGTAAGATTCCTAAACATCTAAGCTTACATTTCCTTTCCTTCAGAAAGTTTCTCTGCTTTCAGTTTGTGAAGCAATTCTAATTCTTCTGAAATTTCTCAAAAAATAAATAAATAAATAAATACAGGTATTAAATACAACAAGACCCCTAGATTTCTCAGTTGAATCAAGGTTTGTAACTAAAAAACCCACCTTTGTTAGTTGCTTCATGCAATGGGATATTCAAAGAAAGAATGTAGTCATGCCTTCTATTGTATGCAACTTTTCCAGATGAACACAAGATTCGATCTTCAATACCAAACTTGAAACTCCTTGCAGGATCCAGTTCAGCTTTCCCAGCATTAGCTCGTTCAACTTGGTCAAGAAAATGCAGGAAAAATTCTAAAGCATCCTAACATTAAGTCGGAATTAAACTGTTAGAAGATTGTAAAGACATGTTTGTCTATAAATAGAACAATATAATATATTATTGAATGGATGGGAACAACCTTTGTTGAATCAAAACACTTCAAGTTATCTACTTTAGGGCTCATTAGAAACCAAATATAAATATTAGAAGGTACATTTTATGATACCAATTCCAAACAAAGAAAAAGAAACCAACTGCCTGCCATGATTCCAGCTTCAATTGATGTTTTCTCCACATCTACTATTGGATTATGAGGTGAGGTGGTGACTACATACTAAGGCTCAAGTAAAAATAGATTATATACGTAAGCTTAACGTTACGTTTCCATTTAGAATTCAAAATAACTATTAAGTATGGACATATCAAATGAAATATAAAGTTGCTGTATGTACCTGTTGTCGCGTAGATGAAAATTCAGGATGGCTGGCAGCAATTAAAGCTTTGAACATTCGTGGGGGTATCCCTTCCTGTTCCTAATGTGTGAAGACAGTGAGACAGGTGCAAACAGAAAAAGGCAACCGAAACCCATAAAAATAAGACACAATACTGCAATCAGATGAAACATAAAATAAAAGAGAAGCTGAGAATATTCAATGGCATGAATCTTTCACTTTTTTGAGTGATGCATCAACCAAAACCCATTGCAACATATTCAACCCATTCTCATCGAAGCTCATTTAAAATATCAGTTAATTTCCACAACTAGTACATTATATAATCCCACAAAAATAAATGATGATGCACACAGAGGAACTTGATCAATTTAAAAAATTAAATATTCATGATGGCATATAAATTGACTAGGAATTTTAGTCACCAAAGAGCTAGATACTTACAGCAGTTGTAGTTGTGGTAGCAACGTTTGCATTGTCTTCATTCTGGATGAAAGAAGGTAACAATAAAAATAATGAAGACTCTGCACAAATTTTCAAAGGAAATGTGCTCGCACGGGTACATACCTTAAGTGGCGGAATAGAATATTTACCAGATAGTAAACCATGTGCCAATTTTGTCCTGAAGTAAAATGGGAATAATTATTATTTTTCTCTTTTGAAGTTTTTATCTGGAAAAAAAAATGTGTTTTTAAGTACTTCCTCACATTTTCTTTTATAAAGAAACAGAATGCCCTACTAGAATATACAATTACTGTTGTAGATGTGAGTTATTTACATTAGTAACCAAAAGTAGAATAGTAGATTATAACAAAAGATCCATGAATGCAGTGGCACAGATGCTATAAAAAATTGCATACCAACAACAAAATATGACTAACAGAAAACATATAGCGGAAGTCTTCTATTAGAACAAAACAATCTAATTACTTACAACTGCATATTCAGGTCCACAGTTGGATCAGCAGGTGCTGCCTCAAATGCCTTCTTTAGACTTTGGTTTATACAGTACCTAAGATGCAATCATAACAGACACTGAAGCAACTGCAAACAGGGCTTAAGCAGTTCGCAAGTAAATTAGAGACATGAACAAACCGGGAAGAGAAGGAACGTGTAGAAAATACAACTTGCATAGTTGCTGCCAAGTAACAACTGAAAAGAAGAAAAATGAGGAAGAATAAAAATCAAACAAGTACATTATAACAAACAGAAATCAACAGGAACCCACTTTACCTGTTTCCAAGATTGACCAATCCTGTATATCCAGGTCCGAAAATTGGTTCCACTTCCTGTCCACTTTCTTGGATTCGATTCCAATCAAAATTGGTATTTTGGTCAAGTTCTCTTTCAGCTGTTGTCATTTCAGTCTGAATATAAGAAAGTGGTAATTTAAAATAATTATGACACTATATTACTCTTATACAAGTCTGTTGCAGAGTAACACCAAAAGTATGACTACCACTTTATTGCTTAGAAGGAGAAAAGGCTGGGCCAGTAATAGGAATATATTGAACGATGATAAATTTCTAAGTTCCAAGCAACAAATGATCACCAGCCATCAGCCTACGTCTAAAGTCTCAAACTCAGAAGGAGAAATGTTAATATTTGGATTTCATTATTTGGATGTTATATAGAGTATAACACAATAAGGAAAACTGCAGACAACAAATAACCATACGCTCCCCTCACATCATTCGACCAAACAAATGATTTCCCCATTCCAAAGAGCAAGCCCTAGATCTATGATAATAGCAACCTCTCCAATCTCACCATTATCAAAAGAAGTGATTTGCAAGAGAAATAAAGCATGTAATCATTCACAAGTAGATGGGGCCCATTGCAGGACTTTATTCCACAAGATACCTTTTAGGATATTATGGCTACCACAAATATTCATCTATTTGAAAGAAAAAAGGTGCAATATATATTTTCAAATGCACCATCGAGCTCTTGGTTATTCCAAAAAATGTATTTCCATTTCTAAAGTAATGATGAGAACAGTATCAGGAAATATTATCCTATCTCGCGAAGGAAGACAATTTTATAAACGATAGTGTTAAAGTCAATAGATATAAAGTCCACAGATTAGATCAAAGATGCCAGGGTTAATCATGTACCATCTGAAAAATATCAATTCAAGATACAGAATTAACCTTTTTTAGTGATGAAAAATCAATTCCAAAAAATGCCAGATGCTGAGCTAAAAGTGGGTCCAAGACACTGTCATCCTCTGGATAGGAGAAAACATCTGAGCTGCCACAATACATTATCCATAATTAGCAGACAATGCAAAAAATAAATAAATAAAAACAATTCAGCACCTAATTCACAGTAGATATTTTAAACAATATTGATTAAATGATTTAATCAGGCTAATAAAAGTTATCAGTGCCATAAATAACAAAATGTAAAGCTTGATTGACATAATGTTTTGCCACCTTGCTCCTTCAACATGATATTATTGCAGAACTACCAAGTTGGCTTCTTGCATTCAAACTACAAATCTTGTGTTTTGGACAAGCAAACATGTGGATGAAAATCAGAAACATGGTCCTTTAAAATGGTCAAAAATTGCATACAGAATGTATAGTGTTTTCCAAGCCCAAAATTACTCCAAAACAATTCCATTATGTTTTAGTCAAACTAACTAACTTTTAACCATCCCCCTTCCAAAAAAAAAAAAAAAGGAATGTAAGAAATCTGGCTAGGTTTATGTTCCCTAATACTTTCTAATTGCAATTTCATAAGAAAAATGCTGCTATTAGCATTACAATATTCAAATTAAAATTTAAAGTATTGTTTCTTAGTATTTGATGCCCATTACCACAGTAGTCAAGAAACATTTTAGCATGAACTGCATACTATAAATAATTGGCCAGACCATTATAAAATTAAATATTAAAAACAAGCAAACAAACTCATCAACCAGAAATAATCACGTGGGCAAAATAGTAACCCTTCATGATAGCAAATTCAATCATGCTCTACAAGTAAGCCATTGAAACTAACAGAAACATAAGAATGTTAAAACAAGAATTCACTGCAAGGGGCATCACCTGCTGCTTCCAGATCAGCAGTGACAGTCCCAAGCTTTACAGCAAGAGGGTAGCCTTTCTTTTTATAATGTTCGATAGCATGATTGTTTCCCCCACTTCCATCCCAATTGCTCCTCCCACAAAGGATCAATCCATCAGTCAGGTTCAACCAAAGATTGTCTGTCTTGTCACACTCAGAACATTTCCACCCAGAAGGAGGAATAACAACACCATTGTCAATCTGCTGTAAATTCATCGCAAAGGCACTAACTCGTTTCTTGTCAGCAGTCCAAGCTGCAACCTGCTCCCTCCGTTCAGCACCCACAGCGAGTAAAATAGCATCAGCAGCCAACCTTACCTGAAGTGTTTCCAACAAATAAGAGAAATAAATTAAACTCAATCTCAATCTTTATCATACAACTTCTCTTTAAAATCTAAATTGGAGGATAATAAATAAAGAAAAAATCATAAACAGAAGACAAATAGTACCTTCTCAGGCAATTCCACCGAAGGAAATGGAAGAGATACATAGTCAGGTAATATAACTACACTATGAGTTTCTTCATATTCAAGTTCATTGTTATCAAATCCCCCATCAACACCTACAAATTAACAAGACGGATACAAATGTTTTATCCATGAAGAATAACCAATTGTTAAGTAGCCACTGAAGCAAGACAGAACCAGAACCCAGAACATTTTATAATAAATGGATAAAAAAAAAAAGGCTTAATCAAGTGACATGTATGATCGTATGATAATAAGATGAACAAAAATGACCCAATTCACACTCACACATACCTATGGCTAAGAGAGTGGGTTTCTTCGAAGGCCTATCTTCTGGAACCAACTTCTTAGTCTTCTTTACATGCAGATAAACAGGATTACCAGTCTTTTCAAAATTCCAACCCACATAGTCCTTCCCAAAAGCAAGAAAAGTGAACATGTCGATGAACAATCCACCTTCTGACACCTGAAACTCCACAACAAAACCAACGCAACAACAACAGCATCAATTTTAATAATGAGACTGAAAAATGCAAATTCGACTTCCAATTAGAATAACGAGGAATCAAGAACCAGTTGCATTAAACATCTTCTTAAGCTAAAAAAATCTTACGGGAGTGTCGAAAGACAAACAGCATTCTTGCTTGTAGATGCGGGTGGTGGGTTCGGGGATCCGAACCCGAGAGAGGTTCGATCGGAGCAAATCCATCGTCGTCCCAAAGCAGTACACTTGGGATTTCGGTTTCGGTTTCAGAGAGAGAAGAGTTTCAAGCAAGGGTTTTAGATTACAAGAGACTGAGAGAGAATAAGATTTGCCCTAACCCACTGCAAGTTAGGAACAGTGACAAAGTGCCATTTTTGCTAAATTTTTTATACAAATATAACGTGAACAATTGTTTTTTACGAGACTACCACATGTTATAGTATCCTGGTAACGAATTTTGTGACCAATAATTTTGTGACACATGGTCATATTGTCGATCAAATTTGTTATTATTGGTGACAAATTATGACACGTCAGATTTTTTCTGCGAAAGTGTGACATGTGTCATAAAATTATTGGCGAACGTAATTTGCTACCGGTCGTAGCGAATTACGTCCACGTGGCCGTCTGGTAAAAAGTACTATACGATGGCATTTGAGCAAAAATTTTGTCAAAAAGTGACATTTTGATCACTGTTCCGCAAGTTAAGTATCCTTGGCGCCCCGCATCGACCAGAGAATAAAAGAATAAAAGTTTATGATAATTAAATATTAAAAAAAAAAATCATTAGAGGGTGATTGGTTGAAGAAAAAAAAAAATATACCTTACCAGGAATATGCTGGAAAAGTGAGGTTATGTTTGATTGTGTTCTGGCTTTTTTTGTTCTTAAAACTATTTTGTAGAATATTTATGAAAACAGTTGTTTTCTATGTTTATTTTGTTTTGAAAGTTAAATATTAAAACAAAAACAAGTCAGACATGTTATTTAAATTTGATTCTAAAACCAAAAGAATAGTTACAGTTTTTAATTATTTTTTTTACATAAAAAGCCTTACCAAACGGGTTTTTTTGTTCTGAAAATCAAAAATCTATTTTTGAAAACTGATTTCAAACCAGCCCTGAATTTCTCGGAAATGAGATCAAAAAGCTATTTGGTAAGCCAAAATATTACCACGAATGTCGGCTCAAGTTTTCTAATTTTATGTTTAGTTGATTGTCAAATATTACTGAAAATGTAGGGTGATTTTAAAAATTGCACTGATGGCGTTAGTGGCGCCATCACCATGATAGTAGCGCGGGAAGAAAATATTGTTTGAAAACTTGGCGCTAGTGACGCCATCACCGTGCTAGTGACTTAAGCTTCAAACTTAGTTCAAGGTACGGGCTTAATACAATATTATCTTATAAATGTACTGTTTGATTTTGGGGCTACCCATTCTTTCATCTCCCTATCTTCTGCTCAAAAGTTAAAATTATCAATTTTCATTTTATCTTCTTACCTTGAAATCTTTCTTCCTACTGGAAAAAACTCATCAAATTTCAAAGTCTGTAGAAATTGTCCTCTTCGAATTGAAGGGAGATTATTTGAAATAGATTTAATTTGTCTGCCTATGATTGATATAGATCTTGTTCTTGGTATAAATTAATTATCTGCTAATTGTGTGATCATTGATTGTCAGAATAAAAAGATAATTTTCACAAAAGAGTCAGAACTTCCCAATGAATCTTTATTTTTGTCAACTTCTCATCTTAGGAAAAGTCTATTAGAGGGAGCACAATGATATGTTCTCTTTAATCTTTCAGAAACAAAGGTTAAACCTGATATCATGGATATTCCTTTTGTCTTAGAATACTCAAAGCTTTTTCCAGATGATATTCCACGATTACCATCAATAAAAGAAATCGAATTCTCTATTGTTTTGATACCTGGAGTAGAGCCAATTTCCATTGCACCTTATAGAATGTCGCCTGCAGAGCTTGTTGAACTAAAGAAACAATTAGAGGAACTTCTATCAAAATAGTTCATTAGACCAAGTGTATCACCCTAGGGAGCACCAGTGTTCTTTGTCAAGAAAAAAGATGAAAGCATGAGGTTTTATGTGAATTATCCCAGTAACAACTATATACTCCACATTCTACAAGATTCGAGTAGATTTCTGCTAGATACGATAGGCAACTAAACAAAGTCACTATTAAAAATAAATATCTTTTTCCTAGGATAGATAACCTTTTAGATTAGTTGAGAGAAGCCATAATGTTTTCTAAAATAGATTTGAGATCAGGTTACCATCAGATTAGGATTAAGATTGAAGATATTCCAAAGACGACCTTTAGGACTAGGTACGGACACTATGACTATCTAGTGACGCCTTTCGAGTTGTCAAACGCTCCAGCTGTATATATAGATTACATGAACTAGATTTTTAGACCTTATTTGGGTCAATTTGTAGTGGTGTTTATTGATGATATTTTAATATACTCTAGGAATGAAGAAGAACATAAGGAACATTTCATGATAGTTTTGCAAATTTTAAAATATAAGTAATTATATGCTAAACTTTCAAAATGTGAATTATGGATAAAGGAAATTAAATTCTTAGGGCATGTTATATCAAAAGAAAAAGTGTCAGTTGACCCTAGTAAAATTGAGGCTATAATGCACTGGGAGACACCTAAGACTATCATATAGATTAGGAATTTTCTAGGATTTGTATGATATTACAGAAGATTTATTAAGGGATTTTCACAACTAGTTAAAGGTGTTAACTAGAAAGGGAATTCCTTTTGTTTGGAAACAAGAGTGTGAAAATTGCTTTCAAAATTTGAAGAGTAAGTTGACATCCGCACCAATTTTGATAATCCCTGATCCATTAGAAAAATTAAGGTTTACAGTGATGCATCTATAAAGGGGTTAGGATGTGTTTTAATGCAAGAGAGAAAGGCCATAGTTTATGGATCAAGACAATTAAAACCTTATGAGAAAAATTATCCAACTCATGACTTAGAATTAGCTACAGTAGTTTTTGCTCTTAAGTTTTGGAGGCATTATTTGTGTGGGTCAAATTTAAAGTTTTTAATGATCATAAGAGTTTTAAATATTTGTTTGACCAAAAAGAGTTAAATATGAGGCAAAGGAGATGAATGAAATTTTTGAAAGATTATGATTTTGAACTTAAATATCATTTAGGGAAAGCAAATATGATGGTGATGCTTTAAGAAGAAAATCTTTACACATGTCACATTTAATGGTCAAAAAAATAGAGTTATTGGAAAAATTTAGAGATATGAGACTATTTGTGACTGTGTTGCCTCGAAGTTTAGGTATTAGTGAAATAAGAATTGATAATGAGTTAATAGACAAAGTTAGGAAAGCTCAGCTGGAGGATCTTAGTTTAGAAAAATTGTTGGAACAGGAAGGATTTACCAAGGGGATGATGGTTTAATAAAATTTCAAGGAATGATTGTTGTACCTCAGAAGGAATGACTGATAACAGAAGTTTTGAATGAGGCACATAAGAGTAAGTTCATGGTTCCCCTGGTTCCACTAAAATGTATAAGAATTTGAAAGAGATGTTTTGGTGGCCAGGAATGAAAAAGGATATCGCTATGTATGTTTCAAAATGTTTAGTTTGTCAGAATTTAAAAATTGAACATCAAAAGCCTTCAGGATTACTTCAATCATTAGACATACAAGAATGGAAGCGGGAAAATAAAGCCACTTATTTTGTGATGGATTTACCAAGAACCCAAGAGGGGTATGATGCAATTTCGGTAATCATTGATTGATTAACCAAATCTGCTCATTTTCTACCAATTAGAGTTTAATATTCCATCGAGAGGTTAGCCCAATTGTGTATAAAAAAAATTGTCAAACTTCATGAGATACCTCTAAGTATTGTGTCAAATAGATTTACCTCTAGGTTTTGGGGATCTTTGTAGCGAGCCTTTGAAACTAAGTTGAGACTTAGTACAACTTATCATCCTCAAACTGATGGTTAAACTGAGAAAACTATTCAAACTTTAGAAGATATGTTGAGAGCTTGTATTCTTGAACAGAGAGAGGTAACTGGAATAGATACTTACCATTAATAGAGTCTTCTTATAACAATAGTTTCTACTCTAGTGTGTAATTTTAACTGTTGACGCTGCTATGAACTGACTCACAAAGTTTTGGGATCAGACAATTATAGGGATGTCTTATCATGACTTGAGCTCCGCCATATAGAACTTTTCACATGCAGAGACCTACAAAATTGAGCATGTAATTAGCTTCAGTTAACTATTACGCAATTTTTTATTATTAGTATTTCATTTTTATGAAATTACTGGAGAGAATGATATTTTTCACGTGTGTTTGTTTGTATGCTAACCTTTTCTGAGAATCACCATTCCTGGTCTATACCTGTCTAACGAAGGATAGGTTGTTACTGTTTATTTTTATGAAAACTTATCAGAATTTTCCATAGAAACTGGAAATCAAGGAGCTATAGCCATATTCCTTTTAGATGGTGTGGAGACTTATATTTATAGACTAGACTAAAATAAGACTTATGTATTGTATAAATTTTGCAACCTTAAGTAGTTAGTAATGTAATATATGTTTGGGACTGATGTAAAATAATTTAGAATGTAGATATTTAGAATGTAAAAAGTTATGTACTAACTCAAATCCACGTACAAATAATGAAGGATGTTAATATAATCAATCGATCTTCTAAAGTTTATTTTCCTCTATATTTCTTATTATTATCATTAAAATATAATTAATGAAATAATGTGATATTCTCTACACTAGTTAGTTAGAGAGGATGTTATAATTTAAGTTAATATTGAACCAATGAATGTGACATAGTAACTTATGCAAAAATTATATGAATCTTATTATTATGAATCTTATTATTATTATTTTGTTTTCATACACTATACATCGATAATAGATTAACCTTACATCAAAGGGGCGATTATACTTACTATCATTTTAATCTTATCATTCTTATTACCTGTTTGATTATCGTTAAATCAACTTAAAATCAATGGTTGAAAAAGGGGGAAAATTAACTGCAGTAGATTTAAATTGATCCAACGGTAACAAAATAGGTAGTAAGAAGGGTAAACTTAAAATAATGGTAAGTATAACTATCTCCTACATCAATATGTACCAAACTCTTAATTAAATAGTTTCCATTCCATTTTACTTTCACATTAAAGTTAGGTTGATTGATTAAGAGGTAAGATATTCTTATTACCAAATGTTTCTACCGTTGGATCCCACTTTTCAATAGATAATCTCTAAAAAAAATTGAAGAGAGAAAAAAAATAACT